ACATAATTAAGAGAAAGAACTTGAAGGCATATACATAGAAATTCCACAATGGTTATTACTGAGCCAAAGGACAGCTAACAATGACTGAGCACCTGCTGATGCATTCTTTGCATGCATTACATGTCACTAATTTTCACAACAACTCTAAGACACTGCCATTATCTCATTTAACTTAGAATGAAAGATAGCGAAGCTTATAGCATTTAATTAATGTTGCTGAAAACATAGCTGGTAAGCACCTCTGCTGGGTTTTGAAGTCAGAAAATTTGGTGTCCATTTTTCTATAATGGAACCCTATTTTTTAAACAAAAACTCCCTCCAAGTCCCTAAATTCTCTAGAACAAAATCATTTTTGCAAAAACAATGTCAAGGAAAGAAGAAAAGAAAAATAGAAAGAAGGGAGGGAAGGAGGAAGGAATTTCATCAGTCTAATAATCACACTATAACCATGTTTACTTTTTTAGTAGCTTGGAGGTTGTTAGCTGTACATGGACAAGGCATGACTTGTTACTTTCAGTGAGTGCTGTAGCATACAGCCCGTACTATAGTTGGCATTAAATCCTCTTTACCAGGTTGGGGCACCCATCCACCCTTCTCCAGAAAATTGCCATCAGCTAGCTAGATCCACCCCACCAGGGAGGTTACCTAAATTCCCACCAGCCACTCCTATCTCCCCTGCCCCTCTCCCACCTCAGTCCATAACTAATGATTTAATAATACAGAACTATAAAAGGCCAGCCTACTTGTCCCCAACTCTGTAGGACATTTATTTCAGCAACCAACCCTTGAGGAGCAGACCAAGACTAGACTTTGCTGAATTATTTTTCAATATAAAATAAGTGATATAGCCCTGGCTGGTGTGGCTCAGTGGATTGAGTGCCAGCCTGCAAACCAAAATGTCACAGGTTTGATTCCCAGTCAGGGCACATGCCTGGGTTGTGGGCCAGGTCTCCAGCTGGGGGCACATGAAAGGCAACCACACATTGATGTTTCTCTCCCACTAGTTCTCCTTCCCTTCCCCTTTCTCTAAAAATAAATAAATAAAATATTTAAAAATAAATAAATTAATTAAATAAGTGATATAGATAAATTATATGTCCATCTTTTAGAGTCGATGTCTTATTCCCTCTCCAAACTAGAAAATAGGATTTTCATCATGATGGCCTTGATCACATAACAATAACTCACACAATTGTAAGAAAGTGGCTTGCTAATCTGTTTAAAAATTCTGTGTTTTAGACTAAGAATGGGGCACTGGAGCAATGAAATGAGAGATCAGAAGGCTAGAGTTCTACCCCTGATTTTGCCAGTCATTTTTATTAACTGTGCAATATGGCACAGTCACATAACCACTCAGAACCTTTCCTTCTCTGTAGATGATGGATTATTTTTGTACCTTTTAATCCAAGAGGTAAGTTTGAGAACATTGAGGTAATCAAAGAGAATTAGGTCTGGACTTTTTTCTAATTGAAGAAATGCGACACAAAGTATTGTAAAACTAGTGATGAACTCAGAAGTTTCCAATCCCCAGTGTTATGCTGTATGTCTTCTGTCAGAGGCACATGCCTTGAAAGACCAAGAACTTTTGCAACATCTGATAGTTCTCAATGGAACAAATTTAACTTGATTTTGGTAGCCGCAAGTCAACATTGAATCAAATATGAATATTAAAAAATATACATATAGCAATTTTTTCTTCAATTTTCTATTTCTATCCTAAAAGCTATTACATTTTTATTGCACTTATTTTTTTTCTTAGTTTGTAATTACATGGTGAAGCAAATGGAGTCAGTGGAGAAGAAAAAAAGTTTTTTATTACTTATTTGTCTTTGGATAATTTCTAAGACAAAGTTTCTCATTTTGAAAAATGATACATTTGTTATCCCTTGATGACTTTTGTTTTAGTCATGTTTATCACCTTTTAATTTCTGTTGATATTGACCTAAGAGAGAATTCTTGTGAAACATTTTTGTTCCCTTTTGTTTTATTTCTAAAGTGCATTTTATAACCTTTATTCCCTTTTCCCTGAAATTTTCTTCAGGTCCACCTGAGTAATAAAGTAGTCATATTATTTTCACTTTATAAAAATATGGGACATTAGATTTCCATCTCTGTTTAATATCAATTTGTAGGTCCCAAATGTTTTCTTGGTCCTCTGTAGAATTCAGGTCATTTAATCTACTTTGTTGTTTCAAAAAAAGATGTTTTAATTTTAACAAAATAATATACCAGATTTTATTGCTACATTTTTATTTACCCCTTACATCTCAGAGCTAGTGGTATTGGCACAAAATTTCAAAATAATGGAACATCTTCTCCACTTACCTATAATGGAATTCACTAAAAAACTAACAAAAAAGTACAAGGAAGAGTACAGCTCACTTTTTTTATTATGTAACTTGGAAAGTGACCAGAAGCCAGCTATTAATAAACTCAGGTACAAATACATGCGTAAATTCAGTCATCAGCAAAATGAGCTTGTTATACTTTCCTGGCTCCATAGGTTTTCTCTTAAATATCGCCTCTCTGTATAAAATAAACATGATGCTGTGTGTTACTTAAAATAATACACATTGACTTTGATGTGAGATATTAATTTCATTCAGAATTTCAACAGTACACACAGTAGAACACAAAGGTAGAATGAAATTTTGAATAATGAACCATATAAAGCACCTCAGTGAAAACAGCATCCTGTAACTTCATGTAACCTGACTAGAACATGGCAGTTCCATTACGCTCCCCTCTACAAGGGCAGATGTGCTATAAATGGGACAGAGGTGGGTGGTGCAGTGTTTAAACACCAAATCATCATCTTGGTTTGAACTGTGCTAATGAAGACATGCTTGAAGATAACCGAAAGCTGTGAACAAACTTCATAAATCCTAATAAACATAAGGGTACCTTCTCAGGCAGTGAGGAGCAGTGCCAAGAACATGGTTGTAATGGTTAATTTTATGCATTGTCAACTAGGCTAGGCTATGGTACCCTAGCTATTTGTTCAAACACCAGTCTAGAAGTTGCTGTGAAGGCATTTTTTAGATGTGATCAACACTTAAATCAGTAGACTTTGAGTAAAGGAGTTAAGTCTCTATAGTATGGCTGGGCCTTATTTAATCAATTGAAGGCCTTAAGAGCAAAGCTTAAGGCTTCCCAAAGGAAAAGCAATTCTGCCTTAAGATTGCAACAACTCTTACATGAGTTTTCAGCCTTCCCCATAGATTTCAGACTTATCAGCCCCTATAGTCATGAGCCAATTTCTTAAAATCAATCTCTATGTATATACATCTATATGTGCATATGTATATCTGCATGTATGGAGTATATATACATATACATACATGTACACATATATCCTATTGGTTCTGTTTCTCTGGAGAACCCTGACAGAATAGTAGCTACTTATTGCTCACCAGGACCTCTGAGACTGAATATTCAAATGGACAATAGATAGACCATATATAAATCTAGAACTTTGAACCGCAGTCTGTAGCAACCTACTCAGAAAACCAACTCCTTCATCTACAATAAACAACGCAGGAAGCCAGCCTTTTAGAAGTCAGACTTGCTAGAAACCTATTATTATCTCTAGTGACAATCCAGAAAGCTAAATCACTTCTGTAACAATTGACCCCAAATGGCCAGGACTTTAATAATTGACAGCTTTCCTAATTTTTGTCCCTGCTTTTGAATAAGGACCAACCATCAACTCCAGAAAACCAAATATGCACCCCTAATCGATCACGAAGGATGCCCCACTTCAAATTAACCTGCCCACATCTTTCCAAATGCCAGCATAAGTCTGATCAGGGTTGAACTGAAGCTTTCCATTTTTTGCACAGTATAGCTTTTCCACTCTTCTGTCTACCTTTGGTGTTTTGTTTTTTTCTGAGCATTTCTAACAGTGATTTAATTTTACCATTTGAGAGTCATCTGATAGTTTTAAATAGGGAAATTTTAGTTTCTCATCCATATCAACAGATATTAACATTTCTATAATTCCTTATGTTCTGCTTGCCTTTGAGTCTCTGCCAAAACGCAAATAACATTAGTTGACTCCTTTGCAAGCTCAGAATAAATGCCTTTGCTTTTCTCATTTGGCCAGTCTTCTTTTTATTTTCATAGCCCTAAGGTCCATTGGTGGCAAGAAATCAGGCTCGGGAGAAACTATTGTGAGATGTGACCTGCTCTCTATAGACAGAATTTCCACACTCTATAGGTATAATTCAGAATGTAGGTAAGACATATAATTCAGAATGTGTATTAGTATGACACATTCTACTAATGTGTCATACTAATGCAGTACTATTATTAATCAGGTTCAATACGCTTTTTTTAAACTGAAACAAATTGTGATAGCAAACAAATAACTGAAAGCTTTTAGTATAAAAAAATTTTTTTAATGTAATTATTTGACCTATGAGTTATTGACAGACAATAACTTGCTATGCACTCAAACTATAAGATTTTGTATTAAGCATTTCTTCCTTTAGCCTCACAAATCTACTGTTTCAGAAAAAAATCTGAAAGGTATTATTTCTCTCTATAAAAGTCCATTTTGACTTGCTATGTATAGAATTTACATTTAATTTGCAAACACTGGGTATGATAGTTATACAATTGAATTTATAAAAATTAACATAGATAGATATGACTGAGACCTCTAGGAGCTGAGAATTAAAAGGGCCCAGGCCCAGACTCTTGTGGGTCAGTGTGTTGGCTGTCATCCCACAAACCTAAAGGTAGCCAGTTCAAATCCTGGTCAAGGCATGTGGCTGGGTCATGGACCAGATGCTCTGGGTGAGGGTGTGCCAGAGGCAACCAACAGATTGCTGTTTCACCCCCATACTGATGTTTCCCTCCCTCTCTTTTTCCCCCCCTTTTCCCTATGTCAAAAAATAAATAAATAAAATCTTAAAAAGGGCCCAGGAATACAAGTTAATTTTTATAATATAGAAATAGCACAATAGAATGCATTTGACAATTAGGTTTATTTTTTTTAAAATAGTAAATACAGCCTTAAATTGGTAGAATTTCACAGTAGACTTTACATCAATTTATTTTTGGCTTACCATAATTAGGAGCAAACCATTGCTTTAAGAACTATATGAAAAATCACACTTGATTTCAACAATATGAAAAATCACACTTGATTTAAAAACATTCATTTAATAATTTAAATTCTTGAGAAAACATCAAAAGTGAATAATCACTATACTGTAAACATGGTCAATATAAATCTTAAGCATTTAAAAAAAAAAAAGCACAATCCAAAAAAGCAACCCAAATTTTACCTCCTTAAGAGGCAAATAGGTACCAAAATTAACAAAAAGATATTAACGGAATTGATCTGTCAATGATAATAAGGGAAAGAGGTAACTGTTTTCAATAGGAGTGATCCCTGGAAAATTACAGCTGTGAAAGGAAATGAGGTCCCTTAAAATTTTCACTTGAACATTCTGCAAAAGTTCATTCATGGTCCCTTCAATTATTCAGATTAGATGATCTCTCAGGAAGCAACTTCTAATAGCAGTTTTGGTATGCGAAGTTCAACGTGCATTTGGAGAATGCTGTAATAACGGTGCACAAGAAAAACAGGTTGTTAAATATGCTGGCAATAACTTCACCTGCTCTTTAAGGACTCTTTTCTGAATGCTATCATCTTTTAAATCTGGACTTTCACTGAGTTCCCTGCACATTTATACACCCTGTTTATTGTAGGAAGAGAAAACTTTTAAGCATTCACAGCAAGCCCTCTCTCTATAAATAAAGTGAGCCCCACCAAGATCAAGCACATACCCTCATACACACACACCCACAAACACTAAAGTACTAAAACTTACTGCTGCCTTCAAAGCTTGATCTAAATCTTCCAGTAGGTCTTCTTTATCCTCTAAGCCCACAGAGAGACGAATCAGTGTGTCACTAATCCCAAGGACCTCTCTGTGGCTCTTAGGCACTGATGCATGGGTCATAATTGCCCTGGAAGGAAGAGTAAGCACATTTTTGATCACTATATTATATCAGTGGAGGCATAGTTCTGACTCATAAGTTGCAGTTATCTTAAAATTTTTTCTACACTATCAAATTCTTCATACACCTATAATTTTCCACAGGCAAAAAATAAGAACTTGTTAATATTATCTTTTTAAGTCATTATTTTAACTGAAATTCACAATCTTTTATCATTTTTATACCATCAGTAAGGTGTACTTAGTCTAAACGCTCCTCCTGCATGGAAGCACGGGAGAGGGAAAGACATAGCCTCCCCAGTGTGGATTTTAATACCTTGCCTGAATGAGGCCTTGGTCAAAAATCATATACCCCATAACCAGCCAGCTGGATTTATAAGAGGCCTCTTAAGACCAAGAGCTAACCAGACTTAATTTCCTCTGGATCAATGAATCAATCCATAATTGGACCTTCTGAGGCAGATCTGGTAAAGGCTACCTAGGATCACTAGTAACAGCCAGTGTACATTAAGAATTCGGCACATAACCCAGGTACAGAGGTAAGGCACCTACCATGGGTCATGCACTATAGAATTGGGAAACCAAGAAGAATGAGATTATTTTCTTTACCCTAGGTAACAAAGCAGGAGCTAAAGACTATGATAATTCGCAAAACAGAGTAGTTAACAGCAAATGCCAAACCCGCGTGACAATAAGAACTGCCAGAGTTCAGAAGAGGGAGAAACCTCTGTGGGCTAAGGCATCATGGAGGAGCTTAGAGTCTTTCTGAGCCCTGATACACGCACTGCCACCAACACTCAGCCTTTCCCTGCACACCAGCAGCACAGTCAATATCTAAGCTGCTTTCTCCCATCTCACTTCAGACCCATGGAAAGAAAATCTCCGTCACGGTCGAAGTAAATGGATTTCTTTCATCACTCTAATGAAGTTTTACACATAAACACCCTCCTTAAAATGTTCTGCCTTTTCAGGGTCTTAATTCCTTTAAAAAGTGTGCACAGGAAGAAATAAGTTAGTCCTCTGAGACCAATAGACTTGGGTATGAATCTCAGCCCTTCCACACACTGGCTATGGGGACTTGTAAAACTTACTTGTCCTCAGAGTAGACTTCCTTATCCGACATACCGGTAGTTATCATTTACCGTATGCTTGCCATGAGACAGGCACTCTAGGTCATTTATGTGCATAATTAATTTTAATGGATAAAAATTGTATATAATATTTATTTCAAAATTTTGTCACAGCCATTAATGAAAGGAACATATAAAAAGGACTTACAAGTATGTGGAATGTACTTGTAATATAGTAATGTAGGAGATGGCTAATAAAAAATAATTCATAATGGTAGTCAACCTTTTATTGGGCACTTAATATGAATCAAGGCATTAGCTTAGGAATTATTTTTCCCCGTGTTCTCACAACAACCCTAAGAGCTGGGCACAGTATTATCCACATTTTACACGTAAGAAAACTGAGGTTGAGAGAAGATCAGTAACTTTTCTAAGGTCATGAAATTAATACACATTTTCAGGCTGGGAGACCAACCCAGTGCATACTGGCTCTGCTTCCTCCCTCTCTTATTGCAATGCTGCACTAGTTGCAGCCAAGTTGGGAGACACAGAAGGAGGGTGATAGAACAGACAAGCTCTGACCTAAATTCATTCATCTACTGGCAATGGGGTTATGACCTTGCTGGAGCGCCTGAGGACCAAGCAACTTTAAACCAAATCTGGAGAGGTTTATTTTTAAAACTGGCCTTAAAGTAACACACACTTCATTCCTGTGAAAAATAACCCAACTTCCTATGCTGAGTGTGCCCTCTTGTGCATCCAGACTTTCTAGCAGGCATTTCCTTGAAAGGCTAACAAAACCTATAGATGTTATCTTAATTATTTGAATCATTATTTGGGCATCTTTTTTTTTTAACTTTGTGAAATTTCCTAACTATCCCCTGAAGCTGTAGGCTACTATGAGAGGGTAGAAAATGTGCATAAATTTTAGTAATCCTTCAGCACAGTGCTTCCAGAAAATGTTTATGGAAATGAAAACACAAAAACATACGATGTGCATTTAGTACAGTTAAAAATTATTAGGTGGCCTGACTGGTGTAGCTCAGTGGGTTGGGCACTGGCCAGCAAACAGAAAGGTCGCTGGTTGAATTCCCAGTCAGTGCACATGTCTGGGTTGTGAGCGAGGTCCTGGTTGGGGGCATGTGAGAGGCAACTGATCTATGTATCTCTCACACATCAATGTTTCCCTCCATTTCTCTTTCCCTTCCCCACTCTCTAAAAATAAATAAATAAAATCTTTTAAAAAATTATTAGGTGATGCTTTTGATTGCAATAATTAACAATATATGGTCACAGTAACATATAGTGAAGTCAGGATATAGTTCAGGAATGTTTGATGGGACAGGTAATCAATAAGTGATCATTATTATTTTAATTAAGCACCTTTTATAGATAAAAAATTGGAGCTCAAAGTTTATGTAATTGGTAGAACAGGTCTCAAATCAAGATCCAGGCTGCTTTTAGCTCCCTTCACTGCAAAACCTCAAGACTGAAGTCATTAATATATTCCCATGTGACATTTGAGTAATCATCAGCAAAACTTTCTCAATACATTTCCTTGCTGTAAAATAATATGCTGTACTCTCTAATCATAGGCTGCTTCATATTCTAATATCCTCTGGTGCTTTAATAAAATTAAATTAATTGATTGGGTCAGATAGTGAAGGTCCAGGAGTACCAAGTTAGATTTTGCATTTACCTTGCCAACAACATAGAGCCATTCAAGGTTGAACAGAAAGTAAATGTATTTGATGATATCTAGTTGGGCCCCCCTCTGGCAATCAAGGTGTGAAGGTATTTCATCAGAGACACATTCCCCATTTGCCAGGGGGCCTTGAAATCAGCCCTTCCAGGACAGTCTCCCACCTCCCTTCCAGAGCGGAATGGGATAAAACAAGTATCCCTGTGCCAAAGACCAGAAAGCCTACTGTACAACTGCTGCTGGAATCTCCTTCAGACAGAACAGGGGTAGAAGCAAAATTCGGGAGGACACTGATAAGTAGCCTCCATTAGATTTCATCAGTATCTCCATTCTGTTGAGTTAGAGTCTGTTCTGATTAGATAGTACCATACTGTTCTGATCATTAAGTATCTTGAATTACATCTGGTTTTATCATACTCTTTTTCCAAATGATCATGAAAGCTAGCATCAAAATTAAAACATATGAGAAAGAAAAATATACTTACGGAAGTTCAGCAAGACTCTCATAACCACCCAAGCTCTCAGCCAGAGTAAATAACTATGACAAAGAAAATATTAATTTAGACCTTCCACTAAAATAAGAATACAAAATCTAAAAATAATTTTTTTTAAAAAAATAGCCCTGGGACAGAGGGTGGAACATAGTGATTATGAATAAACTCTAAACTGGGCAAGAAAGTCAGAGAAAAAATGAGAATAAAATCCATAACAATGATTTCATTAATTAGACATATCTTGCGTAAACTTCTAAAACACTAGAAGTTCATAAAGGCTAATCTCTTATACCTTCCTAATTTGGTCCTATACAACTCTTCTAAAAATTACTCTCACAGCCACATTAAATTAAACATACACTACTATCTTTCTGATTTTAGAAGTGGACAAATTTTAGATACCATGGGGGCTTTGACTCATCTGGTAGCATCCTAATCTTTAAACCTACAGTACTTAAAACTCAGACTTTACCGCATCAGGTCAATGTAACCTCAGTGTGTGGTTATGTAGGCCTCTCTCCCAGGGCCCCCGAGAACTTCCTGCCACTGTGAAATGTAGACAAACGCCTCCTCCCTTCCCTCACCCCAGGCACATGCAGCCTGGGAGGCACAGGGTGTGGAAAGCCATTCTTAGGCTGGATTTCAGCATAGACTCCCACATTATACTAAAAAAACCCCTCTTCTTTGAGGCCTCACATAATATATCATTTGGAGAGGGGGTGTACTTTTAAATAAATTTGAAACCAATGCACTAGAATATTCTGTCTCTCTCAAATTGATGGCAGTATCTGGAAAGTTAAATATGTAAACACATTCAGATATCCGTTACCACACCAAAGTCATTTTCTAACCCGATGCACGTCATGATAAAGAGATGTGTGGGTGTGACGTGCAGGTTCAAAACCATGGATTTGAGAGATAATGAACTGCTCTGTCTTTCCTCAACAATTTAAAAATCAATTGGTTGTTACAGAACAGTCATGGAAATTTAAAGCACAGCACAGGGAATATAGTCAATAATATTCGAATAACTCTGTATGGTCTCAGATGGGCGAGCAATGTATTGGGAAGATCACTCAGTACGTTATGTAATGTCTAATCATTGGGGCGTACACCAGAAACTAGTATAATAATGTATGTCAACCATAATTGAAAAATAAAAATGATTTTAAAATGGAGGGGGAAAAGGAAGTTTACCTTTAGGTTCTTGAGGAAAGTCTCAGCATGGTGAAGAGTGCCCTTAATATAAAAGGTCATCATCCCAGAGCAACCTGTGCACTGACGTTTTGCCAACTCATACTGAGGATGAGAGGGCAGCCCTGTAATAAAGGCTTATTTTAGGATTAAACTTGTAATTTCAAAACAAAGAAAAAAATCAGTTTGCTTAAGTAAGCTACCACTATGCCTAATAATGAGCTTTACATGACGGTCACAGCTGGCTACTTGTTCTGGCCCCTGTCTCCATCTCGCTAGCTTCATGTTTTTTTAGGTTTTATGTATTTATTTTTAGAGAGATGAAGGGAGAAATGGAAACATCAATGTGTGGGTGCCTTTCGTGTGCCCCCTTCTGGGGACATAGCCCACAACCCAGGCATGTGCCCTGACTGGGAATCAAACCAGAGACCCTTTGGTTCACAGGTCAGCACTCAATCGGCTGAGCCACACCAGCCAGGGCTATACTTCCTTACCTACAGTGCATATAGGGCATTTAATCTCCTATATACAGGGTGAGGCAAAAGTAGGTTTACAACTGTTTGTGTAGAAAATGACACAATAAATAATAAATGATAATATAAGAATAAACTGTGTGTTTCATGTACTCACAACAGCAAAACTACTTTTGCCCTACCCTGTATTTCTGCCTTGGCTTATTAAAGCTCTTTGAGGGTAAGAATCATGTTTGATGCTCCGGTATATCCAAGACTATGTGCCTAGATACCTAAGTATAAAATAACTATTTACTTAAGACCACACCGCCACAATTTAAAAGACTGGTAAAATAAATTCAAATAGTAACACTTAAGTCTGATAACTCCACCTGAGGGTTTCTTCAGGTTGTGGGATCTGAAGGAATTCAAAAACAAAGTAAGAGAGCTTTGGGGGAATTTTGGTACTAAGTATCAAATCTCAAATTGAGATGTATTAAGTTCCAACTTAAATCAGATAAAAGTTAGAGCTAATGCAGAATAGTAGACTAGCAAATCAAGGGGAAAGTACCACGTTGCAATCCTGAAATAGGTACAACAAACCTGCATGCTAAAGACTATCACTGGAAAATCTAATGAAGCGATTTCCAGCCAGTGTTGCTGCAAGAATTTTTAAAACATGCTTTACCTGATTTAGTCTGGGGCACTGACCTCTTTTCCCCTAGATGGTCAAATAAAAAATGACAACAGCCAACACAACAATAGCTGTCCAGTGTGAATGAATCAAAATTATACTGATTTTTTTGTCAGACTGGCAAAAGATGTATTTTTTTAGTGTGCTGTCGAATTTTAGAAATTACTTAATGTGTGCCATGAGATGGAAAAGGTTGAAAATTGCTAACCTAATGCATAAGACTAATTTCTTAAAATCCAAGCATCCACTAGACCATAGGCAACACAAGGCCAGAGGCCACGTCTACCTTCTTTACCACCGGACCCACGCCACAGAGCCAGACACACACCAGTGTTCAACAATCAAAGAACAGAAAAATATATGAAAGCAACTAACTCACAAATAAATGCTACATACACAGGATGCTTAGGATAACCCTCACAATCCCAAGGATATGAGCTTAGAAATCAGATTAACATACCAGGATAAATAACCTTTTCTACCAGAGGATGTGATTCCAGAAACTGAGCAACTGCCATTCCATTTTCAAAATGCTTCTGCATTCGGACTTGTAGAGTCTTCAGGCCTCGATTGCAGAGGTAACAGTCAAAAGGAGAGGGGACTGCTCCAAGCGCTGAAAAATAAACATACCCTGGGTTAGTGTGAAGGTGGGTAAGAACCCACAAAATTCTGGCCCCTCTTTCTCAATACAGTGTCTCTGAGAAGCCAACTACAAAACCCAATGCTTAAGTTTTTCTCTTTTTTTGGTGGGGGGTAGAGGGAGTGGGAATTAATGTAGCAAATCAGAAGCATGAAAATGAAGCATAAAATAAGCTTAGAGAAATAGGCTTTAAAATGAGAGGGAAAATGAATATCTTGAACCTGCATACAAACACAATAACTTCTCAAATATGAACATAAGCAGTCCTTCTTATGATCTTAATAGGATGACATACTGCACATAGCTGAAACTTGTATTTCTTTGAAAAGTATTACAATATAAGGGGGAAAAAGCAGTTCAGCTCCTGTCATTACTGAATGTTCCACTGACATTCTATTTAGCTTTTGTCTAAAGCAGCCTATGACTTTACATGTTCCCAGGATACAGAGCACACTCCTACTTTTTATAATAAATGAAACTTACCAAGCATTGAGTTTGGTTTTCCCTCCTTTTGTTATTTTAATACTGATTTCCTTGAAGGGCATTCTTATCCCTAATTATGTTTGTATCATGTGTCTGTCAAACTGTAATAATTAATCAAATTCTCTTTAAATACTCCTATCGATACTGAGATAACTAAACAATCTAAACAAGAAGTGATGTGTAGACCTCTGTTGAAAAGTGGAAGTTTATATCTTAAGTGCTATTTAAAATTCAACACTATTCCAGATATAAAAACACAGTATAAGAAAGCCAACATGTCAAATGTTTGGGTGTTTTTTAAAAGAAAATATCCATTAAGTCTTAAAACTAAAAATTCACTTGGGCTTGATATTATAATCAGAATTAACATGGACTTGCAAAATAACAAATCTCATCCTGTGTGTCATGTTGTAAAGCCCTGTTATGCTCTAACTATATCCTTTTAACCTTATTTTCCTGCATTCCTCTAAAGAGCCAAATTTTTCACCTTTATTTCTCATTTCTTTCTAAATTAGTATAACACTATCACTTCACAATATTTAGTGGAAACACAAATATTAAATGTAGTCCCTCTGAGAGCATAGAAGGATCCAGATCTTTTAATACTTACAATTTTGCAAGAATCGAAGCCTATCATGGAGGCTCTCAGAATTAACGGACACTAAGCCCATGACAACATCACTGTGGCCTAGAACAAAAAGTATTAAGTTAGAAACAATGTATGTTTTTTCTCCAATTTATAATTTCTAAAATATGACTTTCACTTGAAAAGACCCTGAAAAAAAGCCCAATAGAATAAGTTTAAATAAACTTTATTGAATTCGAAAATAGCAAAAGTCATAACCTAAAATAATAAAATAAAAACCATATAAAAATAAATGTTTCTTTTTAAGCTGTAAGCAGGATAAAAACATAATTTTTTAAACAAATTTTAATCTTCTGCTTAGAAGTCATGAGCCTATTTTTGTCTGCTATGAATAAAATCTTAATATTTAATCAAAGTATAATTCTTTCACTTTCTACATGAGTCGGAGAAAACCTGAATAATAGCAGAAGGAATCAAAATGTCAAGCCCTGTGCTATTTTCTTCGATCCATGGAAAAGAACATTCAAAGTATAGATTCTGCATTTCTTACCATTCATATATTTTGTTGCTGAATACATACAAATATCAGCTCCCAGAGCCAAAGGTCGCTAAAAAGAAAAAAAGTTTTTATTTTAAATAAGAAATCACTTAAAATATTCTTCATTACTTGCCTATTTGTTACTATAACTATCATTTTTAGTCTAATTTTTTAAAAGTATGTACACTTTAAAATTTTCCAGGATCTCTAATATAAACATTCCCTTTCCATCCTCCCCCAAATAAAAACACAAAGTATTGGACCCAATAGTCAATCCAATGGCCCAAATTTTTTAGGAATAGCAGAGAAACTCAGGTCAGCAGGTCTTCTGGAACTGTTTCTTTAGAGCAGTTCCTGACTGACCCCTAAATTTATGACCTACAGCAGAAATGTTGGCATTCTTATGATTCAATAGTCATGTAAAATAATTGACTAAAACATTCACCAATTGTTATGTCAAGTAAAACTAATCTGTTAGATTTTTAATCATTAAAACCTGACAATGTATGTTGTGCTTATTCACTTGGTTTGCCATGATCTTGATTCTTAATTACTCTTTTATTATACTAGTTTTGCCAAACTTAAATCACCTATAAAGAAATTAGATTGGATTGTTTTTCCTCATCTGATTGTTCTGTAGATTAATCTTTTAGTCTTAATATTTCTTTGCTGTAATCACCTTATCACTAAACAATATATTATCAACATCTTCCCATTTATATTTTCTTTAAAATAAGTGATGGAGTCACACCACATGATATCTAAGGTCTCTTACAGGACTAACATTCTGTAAACTCTATGGTCAAAAGAAAAACCAGTAACTAGCATCTGTTGATCTCATTATGTGCCAAGAACCATGTTAAATGTTTTACATATGCCAGTGAAGCACTGTGCAAAATGCAGGTTCCAGAAGAAGTAAGACCTGCTTGAGTGTGGTTGGTAGGGCACGTGAACATCTCACACGAGACGGACAGCCATTTGAACATTTCACCTAAAATGCCCTATGGTGTGCCAGAGTGTGATATTGTTATGTTACAGAATTACATGCTTATGGTTCTGTAATAAAAGGTTTTGTAGCCCTGGCTGGTGTGGCTCAGTGGGTTGAGTGCCAGCCTGTGAACCAAGGGTCGCCGGTTCGATCCCCAGACAGGGCACATGCCTGGGTTGTAGACCAGGTCCCGAGTTGGGGGTGTGTGAGAGGCAACCGATCAATGTATCTTTTGCAGATCAATATTTCTCTCCCTTTCTTTCTCCCTTCCTTCCCGTCTCTCTAAAAATAAATAAAATCTTTTAAAAAAATTATAATAAAAAGGGGCATTGCCCCAGATCCTGTATTTCACCTAACTCAATAAATTAGTACTTTTATGACTCTAATTGTACAGATGAAGAAAAGAGACTAAGAAAAATAAAACAGATCACTCAGATTAAAAAAACAAGACAAACAAACAAACAAAAAACAGTAGAACCAGGGCTCACACCCAGACTACCTGAATCCAGAGGCTCTACTCTGAAACTTTTATGCTGGTATATCTGTCTATTTTGCCTTTTGTGAGACTCACAGAAGATCCAGAAGACAAAATTCAGGCAAGAAAGAGAATATACACACTTTTAATGAGGATAAAACAGTGAAAGGACCATTTCAGAAGGTGTATTTTGCAGAATCAATGCATGTGGTTGCCTAGGAACAATGACTCTGACTAATTCAACTGGAATGACTCCAGATTGAAAAAAAGCAAACTGTCATCCCTGTCATGAGCAATGTGATGTGGGCTTCGGGAAAGTAGAAAAACTGGACCTTTTTTAGTGATGGTAACAGGAGAAAGAGGGCCAAGGCTGATGAGTAATAAGCTGTAACAACTCACGCCATCACGCCATCTCTTTGGGAAGATACAAGACTCACCATAACTCAGCCAGATCAATCCTACGTTGTATCGGCTTTAAGGGGTACACGGGGCAAGAAACTGAGATAAAGAATCTAAGAATGAAAATCACCTGTGACAAATAGATAATGCTAGGAGATTTTCACTTAGAAACACACTATCTTATCAGGTTTTCTGTTACAAGATGATACAAGAAGCATCTAAAGATACAGTCAACACTCTATTGCAGTGGTCCACATCCACAGATTCAGCCAACCATGGATGGAAAAATATTTGAAGAAAAAGTTATACATTGCTGACAAGTACTATGTAGTTAGGCCTAAATTGCTTATGTTTGTACAGAATATGTACAGACTTTTTTTCCTTGTCATTAGTCTCTAAATAATACAGTATAGCAACTACTTACATGGCATTTCATTGTATTAGATATCATAAGTTACCTAGAGCTGAATTAAAGTATACAAGGGAAAGTGCATGAGTTATATACAAATATTATGCCGTTTAATATAAGGTACTTGAGCATCTGTGGATTTTGGTATCCACAGGGGTTCTTGAAACGGATACCAAGGCATCGCTGTATGTATATCATTAAGATAAGTGGCTGTGAAACTATCTGAATACAACTTAGCCAGGAGGAGTATTTTAGGAAAGGGAAATATAATATGGTAATGCCTTCTGAATAAAATGAAGGAAGGTGAAGAACAGGCTTAGGCAAACTGCCAGAAGGTCAGCTAGTCACAGGAAGGCAGAAGCCTGGCCAAACCTCAGGCACCCAAAACAGAAGGGGTAGAAATGTAAACAACTGAGCTTGTAAACATGTGCCTAATTGAAGAGCTGAAGAAAACGAGCTGGGGTTTCAGGAACTCTGTATAATAAAGGTGAACTACAGAAAGTTTAGTAAGAATGACCATGAGGTCCAAGCAGAAAGGAAAGAGCAGAGAGGAGGTAACTCTTAATAAGGAAAGGAAACAAAATTAGGTTGCTCAGAGGAAAGGGAGGGAAAATGAAGAGATGGTGGGACAGACAACTATTCAATTACAGATATCCCAAGATGATCTACAAAAAGCAGCAAAATGGAACAGAAAGGAAGAAGAATCTGGAAAAAAGTAAGAGATAAAAAAGAAAGAAATGAAGGATAAATGGGAAGCTTTGGGGATAAGGAAAGATGTAATGTAGAGGGATAGTTAGAAAAAAAAGATAGTTTAAAAGGAGCACTCTTAAATACTTATAGCTACAATGTGAAACATACAGTAGAAATTTATAATACAAATAAGCCAAAGGGCTATGCATAAAGGGTTATGCATAATCTATAGGTGCTGAGGGAAGAGAAACTAGAAAGGGAGAGAAATGAATAAACATTATATGTGACATACATTAAGATGTCACTGAGTACAGCTTTTCTTTTCCTTTTATTTGGAAGATCAATCAGATAAAAACCTATTAGGGATGACTGTAAAAATAATATCACTAACTTGTAACTAGCACATAAACAATCAAGTCTCTACTATGTGCAAGGCACCGACAAATACAATCACAAAATAAGGCCACATCTTTGGAGAATTTACACTCCTAAGAAATCCTAAAAGCTTTAATTAAGACAACATGTAAAACAAAGTCCCATACAAGATATTAACCTAAGGAAAGGAAGGACTTGTTCACATTAAAATCATGTTCACACTCATAAAATCTAATCGTAGTTATTGAGTAGACATAGAATTATATTTGGGTCTTCTACCATTGGTTAATATCTTTTCAATCCAATTACAGCTGCCTGTGTAGTCTACTCATCGTACCAAAAATTTTATTTACATTTACCTGGAAATATGCCGACATGAAAGTGTTATCCACGACCAAAATAATGTCTCCGTGTTTATGGACAGTATGTGCGCAGGCTTCAATGTCAATCATCTTCAAGTTAGGGTTTGTGGGAGTTTCAACCCAAACAAGCTAAAATAATTCAGTAAATGACAAGTCTATAAAAAACACTGTACAAACATACATCCCACACCTTGCAACCATCTGAGAGGATATATCAGAAGAGCCTGGATGATGAAGTTGAAAGGTTCAAATGTGAATCTTAGCACCCATAAATTTCTGAGAGGTCATAGCTAAGTAACTTGCCCTCTATATTCCTCAAATTTTTCATCTGTACAATGGGGTTGGTAATATTTACCTGATAGAGCAATTGTAAGGATCAAATGAGATAGTATGCATGAAAGCAGAAAAGTACGGAAATTAGTTATTGTAATTATTTTCCATAAAAAAGAGGATGTGTTCCAAAGACATAATTCAGTGTCTGGAAATTTTATTCTCAAAGATAATACATATTGTCTAAGGTTACATCCTAGAATTTTTATTGAAGAGGATGCCAAAAATGTCCTTGATATTAACTTAAATAATGGCAGATGCACTAGAAATTATAAAATAAGTGCCCAGGACTTGAAGAGCAAGAGTCTAAGAATAAAGAAGAAAAGTAGCACACACAACACAAAACCTGGCTACAGCTCACTTAAGAAAGAGAGAGTATCATATATATCTATAGTCCAAACTCTAGCACAGCTCAAGCACATAGTGGATGGTTGACAGCTATTGAAAAGACAAAAAAAAAAAAAAGAATTCTATTTGTTAAACACGGTATGACATTATCTACTGATTTTTTTAAAGTTAATATTTTGTATTACATAAACAGGCAAAAATCTAGAGATTTACTGTGGAAAAGATAAGGTAGTTCAAGAAATGTACAGTGTACAAGAATTGAATTACTTAAAGAATCTATAAAAATTATTTCTGAGTTAGTATTTATTATTCCCACTCATTAAATACTAATACTAATAATAATTAGCCCTGACTGGTGTGGCTCAGTGGGTTGGGCATCAGCCTGCAAACCAAAAGGTCACTGGTTCGATTCGTGGTCAGGGCACATGCCCGAGTTGCAGGACAAGCCCCTGGTTGGGGACTGAGAGGCAACCAATGTTTCTCTCACATCAATGTTTCTTTTCCCCTTTCTCCCTCCCTTCCACTGTGTTTAAACATAAATAAATAAAACCTTTAAAAATAATAATTAAAATTAAAATAAGCAAATAAGTACAAAGTAGATTTACATGCAAAAAAATAAGTGCATAGTAGTTTTACATGAAAAAAATCTACTTTTTCAGGGGGAAAATATATTAATTCAAGTCAGTAAAGAAACACTACATAAAGTTCTGTTGACAAGAATTAATATACTCACAATTTGCTTTCCTTCCTTAGAAAGACAGAACAGCTATTTTAATTAAGTATCTTTTCTCCCAAGGAAGATTTAAAAAAAACTAGTTCCTTTGAAAATAAATCTTAATCACTCAAAGTTCACCCTGGTGTTAATCTTTAACGTATTTGTGTGAAAAAAGATTTTCACTTTTTAGCAGACACTGCAACATGACCTTGAATACAACTCAAACCTTCTAATCATTAGCAAAAAGTTGGAAAGGACTGACTTATAAAAGAACTGGTCCTTCTTTTACCCACTCAGAATTTAAATGAGGTCCCAAGAAAGAATATCACATATGCTATTCACTAAGAGACAAAACACCTTCCGGTGGCATACAAGCTTCCCAGGATGGAGGCTAAAGATTGCTAGTGGCTCATTCTCTACTTCCATTATTTTGCTGAAGTATCCCTTAGAGCCCTTAAAAAGCCACTATACTTAGGGTTCAGGGGACTTGGCAAGCTTCTTTTTCTGTAACCCAATTTCTGTGATGACTTCTGTTACCAATACTAGCTTGGTAATGCAGTTAAGAATTGTGTGCTTTTGCTAACAAATTTTTTATAAGTTATCATGTACTGGGAACTGTACTAAGCATTTCATATGCCTGATCTCTGTCTTATTTCATATGCCTTTAATTCACACAACCACCTTTCTGTAAAGCAGGTACAATTATCCCCATTTTTGCAAATGAAGAAATTGAAACTTTGTTCAAATTATTTGCCTGTAATCACACACCAACCATGATGCAGAATTAAGCTTTGAAACCCACTCTGGAATTTATGCGCCAAATCATTATACTATAATACTTAGGTGACAACAGACCTATTTTATTCTTGTTGATGGTTTCCAATGGCTCTGATAAAATTTGTTATTCAAATTTAAATTATGTCCTCCATTAAACAGAAATGATGAAAACAAAACATCACAGGGAAAAAGACAAAACTGAAAACTGAGTACCTTGGTTTTTGGTGTAATGGCTTCCTCTAGTAATTTAGTTTTGGAACAATCGACAAAAGAAATCTTTAATCCAAATTCAGATGCCACCTTATTGAAGTACCTGTTTGTACCTGAGGCAGAAGAAAATCAGAAGAAATGGCAAGGACATTGTATTAAGAATGTTCATTCCTTATAATCATTAAGAATGTTAATGAGCCCTGGTTGGTGTGGCTCAGTGGATTAAGTGCCAGCCTGCAAACCGAGAGGTTGCTGGTTTGATTTCCCATCAGGGCACATCCCTGAGTTGCAGGCCAGGCCCCCAGTTGGGGGTATGACAGTTGATCAATGTTTCCTTCACACATCATTGATGTTTCTCTGCTCTCTTTCTCCCTCCATCCCCTCACTCTAAAAATAAATAAATTATTTAAAAAAAAGAATGTTAATGATTATGCCTTATAGATATAGTTAGTCACCTTAAAAACACTACTAAGTGTCAATTGCCAAGAAAAATACATCTAAGAGCAATTCTACTTTGGTTAAATATTTGGGCTATCACATTGTAAAGAATATAAGGTTTAGCTTTTCCTTAAAAAAAGTTAGTCAAATAGAACATAGTTGATATCTACAGCAAGAAGCATAAAGCAGAAAATGTTTCTCAAAACACACAATCTCTACTCTTCAAATATTAAGGGGCACGCTCCCCAAAATATCAATGTCTTTTTTTAACAATTTCTTCATAGTACTCAAATCTATAATAAATGAACCAATGTCAATGAATTATTCAAAATGAATTTTCAATCCAACTATACTTTGGTAATACAAGAAAACTGGTTATTATTCTTTGTACTTTCTCAACATTTTTATTACACAGTTCTGAAAGTTCTAATAGAAAAATGAGAAAATATAAATCAAACTAGAGTTTATAATGAAAGAAGATAAATCATGCATCTTTGTATAATTTCTTTTATAAGTCCTGTTCTGGGATTTGATTTTTTACATATGCAAAATTTAAAGGGAAAACTGCTATTATTAACAGTTGACCAAAAACAAACAAACCAATACTCTGAACTTTTATACTGAACTACTGATGTTACGTAGAGACTGACCTTAGATAACACAAGATTGAAAAATAGTACAAAAGGTTGTTAAAAATCAACAGCAAGTTTCAAGATTTTGTGCTATTTTTGCCATGAGGTTTTTATAATGCATTATAAAAGTAACAAAATGTTTGAGATTTTATCATTTCAATTCAACAAACTATAATAGGGACCTAATATAAATATACAACCCTTCATAATTTCTGGTCGGTGAGTCCCTGACAAATTTAAGTCTTTGTTCAAATACGATAACAATATTCTGGAAATCACATTTTAATTATTTGGAAGCATTAGGAATACACATGTATATTTGCAAAAAATGTTGCTATTGTTTTGAACACAAAAATGAGTCTTGCTTAAAGGTAAGGGCAATGTCTTCTTTACCTACCCACTTGCCACTTAAACTAGCATTTAAACTCTTTAGAATGAAAGTTGTTAAATTTGGATTAACTGACAGGCTTCCACTTGACTCTAAAATTAAAATGATAAATGTTGGGTGTCACCTTAAATAAACTTTTTGGAGGAAAGGGTATATAACTTTCAAAAAATTTTCAAAACACTCCCTAAAACCACAAAAGAAGGAAGATAAAGGGATGGGTAGAGTTAAGTTCTTTTGAGAGTGACCTGGGTTACAATAGTTAATCTTCATTGCTGGTATAAATCTTAAAGTACACTAGAACATTCTCCTTTTAAACACTGTCTTCCCTAGAGCAGAATATGTCTAAAAGTTGATCCAGCCCTACATCCTCATTCCAACAGCTTGAATAAAATTATTATTATTCAGTCTCTCTTATGAGCTGTTCCAGAGCATGGACCTAGGCACTGATGCTTCTTTTTTACCAACTCTTAGCCAGCTTGGAGGTGTCCATTACACCTTCAAAAGATAATAAAGAGTCAGTAATCTTGGCAACATTGTTAATATAATGTAGGACCCACTTTGGTATCTTTAAATATCAGTAGACACAACACAAATGCAAGAGATCACCTACCTCCATATACATCATCCATACAAATAATGTGGTCCCCTGCTTTTAAGAGATGGGTAATAGTCATAGTGGCTGCTAAACCTGAAGCAAAGGCCAAATCTAAAATGAAAACCAAGTTAGAGTAAACCAAAAGGTCAGACCAATAGGTTAAAAACAACCACAGTATTCACTTGCATTATTTTATGTGCCTCTCTCTGCTAATGGGACATTCATCACTGCTGAGCCACCAGAAGTCGCCTGATGAATACCATCACAAAACCCCTTTTCCATTTCAGAGACAAAATATCTACATAATAAAAAAATATATATTTAAATTTGCTTTGGTTATAACATTTCTCTGAAACACTTCAAGTAAATAATTCTTTCATGAAATTCTGAGATAAAAGACCAATTGCCAATTAAATTACAGTTTAAAAATATCAGGCTCTAAAATTTCAAACTTGAAGAATAGAGCTAAGATATGATTCATCAACTATATGGCTGGGTAATTGAGCAAATCATTAAACAAAACTCAGAATCAGACCTGGGATATTTCTGATAAATTTAATAAATTTTAGTTTTAATTTTTAATGTGGAATCTTTTTAAACAAGTGTGATCTCATGTTGAAGAATCATAATACAAATAAATAATTTAAAAAATAACGGGTATTGTGCACATTAAATGTAAAAGAATATCAATAGATCCCCTTGATAATAAAAAAAAAAGTCACCTGTGAGTGGTAGAAGGGATGATTTAATTAACTTGAAAAATAAAATTGTGAAATCCTCTTAGAAAATTTTAGATTAGGATTACAGTTTTCTACTATGCAGATCTATGGTCCAATAAATAATTCACATAGAAGGCTAAACTTCAAAACCCAGTTAAAAACAACCATGTTTTCTGGATCCCACTTGAAAAAGGTGTCTGACATAAGAACACTCAGTCTTTATACCTCCTGCAGAAAAAAAGTGTTCCCAATACAGTACCAAATTTCAGCAATTTTGTGTTTAATCTCATCCAAGATAAAACCAACCCCTTTCCCAAAATCCCAAACCCACCCAATAATTCACGTTATTAATATTTCTTATAATTCCTACACCCTTGCTATGAGGAAACAAAGACTCCTATTTTCTATTCATTATTTTGCCCTCATTTATTATCATTTATATAAAAAATACAAAATGATTTAATAGCAATCCATTCCTTTACAAAAAAAATACAAGATTCAAGGATTAACCCCTAATCTCTGAAAGCACGCTATCCATAGTACCTGCCTATTGCAAATGTATCTTCCTGCTATTCTCAGGTACAAATAATCGGGTAAATGGACCAGAATATAAGAAAGCTTATATTGTCATAAACAGTGTTATAAAACTTAGTTAATTTTTATCCATTTATACTGATAGCTTCAGATAAGAGTATCTACATGAATACCAAATGGAAAATTCTGCCATTTTGCCCCTATTCATATTTATTTTTACCAAATAACTATACATATGCATAGTTTACCAGATGTGGGACCTTGGGAAGTAATTCAATGGTTTAACACAATAACTGTTTTGAACTAGCTAATCCTTTTTTCATTCCAGTTCTACATTCTGTGCTTCTGTGATTTTCTCTGTACACACAATAGATTCCAGACTTCACAACCTTCAAATTGGAAATCACTTACTGTACTTGGCCCCATCCAGTGCCGCCACTGCTTTTTCCAAGCAATTCCTGGTGGGGTTTCCAGAACGGCTATATTCAAAACCCTGAAGAAAAGAAGCCAGAGATCATTCTAAGGAACTTAAGTTTATTATCAGAGTCATAACAGAGACTACTCCACAATTACAGGTTCATTCTACTATAATGAATTTTTATTGATTTGTGGCATGTTTTGCCATTAAAAGCATAACAGTGCAGTGGTGTGGAGAGGCTCCAAAATCAGCCAAACCAAATTAGAGTTTTTTTGTCCGTCACTTATGAGCTACATGCCAACAGGTAAGTTATACTTAACATTTCCCAGAGTCAATCTCAATATTCGTAAATGGGAATAAAATACAGATATATAATTCACAAAATTACTGTGATAATAAAGGGACAATATACAGGTCCTCTCCATGGTGCCTAGCACATGCCTACTACTAGATAACTGGTTCCTTTTACTATTAGCATTATTATTATGTTAGACTTGTCTTTCTACCCATGAATCTGGGGACATCAAGAAAAGGGAATCACCTGAGCCAAGAGTTAACCTAATTCTAACCTGTATTTCATTTTCTAAGAAGTAAGAGATGCAAGTTCTGTTTAGCTTCCAACAGAAAGCTATGAACAGATTTACAAATGCTCAAAAAGATCAGATCTTGGCTCTACGTAAGTGACTCAAAAAATAGAGTCATTCTTGGCAAAGCAGCTCCACACATTACTTTCAAAATTTTGCATTGTTCCTTTTATGTGTGTGGCACCATACTAGCTGTGTTCATCCGGTCATTTCCTTTAACCCTTGTGATCTGCTTCATGGAAAGTAAAGCTAGATATCATAGGGAGTGTCACAGCCAGAACTCAAACCCAAGATTTATACATTGAGGAAAAATCCTACCACTTTCTGCCCTCCAGTCCCCCACCCCTGCCCCACCTGCCGTGGCACAAAAACAACACACAACCATGATTTACACCTTTGTCCCTGAATCAGGAGCTCCCAGTATTTATTTCCGTATATGTATTTGTTTTGTTGCTTTGTTCCTTTCTTTGGTTTTGACAACATGAGTAGGCATATTTTATAGAGCTCCAGATATTCTCGTCTTTCCTCACCATCACCTGCTTGATGTGACTTGCAGTTGTACTCACCAGACAGGAAAAAAAACCGCAAAAATCCTGTTTGAATTCATGTCGCCACAGAAAGGTACCCTATGCTTCCATAAATATTCATTGTAGAGACTTAACTTTGTTGGGGGTGGGGGAGAAGCATATTTTAGAAGCAAATTCCTACCCTCTTACCCTTCAATAGCTTTCCAAATGGAACTGTAGAATTAGATGCTCCAGTTACATTCTCTTTAGTGCTCTTAACTTGTTTTTTAAAGGTATTAAGAGGAGTTTGGATTTTACCATCCCTGCTGGCTCTTTGAAAACATTGATTAATATCATAGCTACATGGTTAACTTTTCTGCTGAAACTCCAGCAGCCCCACATTCACAAAACCCTGCACCAGGAAAAAGCCACATGCTGGGAAGGCAGGATGTGTGTTCATATATTGATTCCAAAATACAGTAGCTAGAAGTATCCTAAAACAAGAAATGCCCTTAGAACTCTACCTGAAAAAACAAAGGGTTAAGTCTAAAAGAATTTTCTTCAACTTAATATAACATACACACAAAAGAGGTTTTTGAAGTTTAATCAAGGTTTAGGACCTACAAATTTCATTTCACTATTTTTTTTCTGAACCTCAGAAATGTAATACTCCAGTATCTATCAGGTATGCTACCAAAATAGGAAAAAGTATGTGGTTAATAAAGAGGGCTCTCTCATAAGCCTTTCATGTCATTTATCTGTGACTCTGGGTCCATTCCTTTTCCATAAAAAGTGTACAACACCTGTCCCTCCACTCTAAGCTGGTTGTTTTAAGGATCAAATGAAAAAAGTATAAATGTGATCACTGTGCAATACCAAACTACTGAGCACTTATAATGTACCATGCAGTTTACCATACATATCAACAGCTTATGTTGTAGATACTATGATTAACCCCATTTACACAGAGTCAACCTGAGGCTTGGATAGGTTAGATAACTTTGCTTAAGGTCACCCAGCTCGGAAGAGGTGGTGTCAGAAATCAGTCCCAGGTCCTCTGACTACATGACTTGTGCTTCTACTTGATAAGCCCCACTGCTCAGGTGATGCAATGATTTAGATTATTGCTAGCATTGCTGAAGTACAGCACAATGTAGCCTAATGACTAAAAGCAGGGTTCAGAGCAGGGCTGGAATTCCAGTTCCACCACTTATTAGCTCTGTGGACTTGGGCTACTTGTCCATAAATCTCAGTTTTCTTTCATAAGAAAAATGAGAACATAGTTCAGACTAGGGCTGTTTTCAGGATTATCTGAGACAACACATGCAATACACATGATATACCACAGGTAAGTATGTATTTAGCACAAAGCAAGTACCCAGTAACTACTGATAGTTGAATACAGCTTTGGGAATGGTCTTGTGTCTAGGTGAGTAATGAAACCCTTAATTTTTTTTTATCTGACTCATTGTATTTTTATCATTGTTACTGCTAAAAGTAATCAAAGAAGTTATAACCCTCAGTTTTAAACTGCAAATTTGACAGAATCACATGAATTTCAGCCCAAATCTAGATGGTAAGTTGGACAAACCGTTCCTTCTAGTCCTGCTTATCAAAAGAAATATGATCACTGGACCATCCCATAAAAAGTTTTATTGCAAGGAGGATGACAGGTGTAGTAAGCATCTTCCCAGCTGCCTTCTCGATGAGTATGCCATTTTATACATTACTTGGGTGCCTTTTCAATTTGCAAACCATCTCTTTTCCCGTCCAACCCTGGATAGCCCCAGACAGACCCAGCTCACCGAGTGCTTGCCGGGAGCCCCTTGTTTGAACGTGGTGGACATGGAGATGGGAGTCACTACAGCTCGGGAGGTCCATTGCTCTGGTTCCTGGCCCACATGAATGGCCTGCGTGGCGAAGTGTTGGAAGCTAGGCAGGAATCCGTGAGGGGAGACGCCTTTTTTCTGCATGTTAAGCTGCGAAGGAAGGAGAGAGGAAAAGAGAGAGGAAGATAAAACTAAGAAACTGGCGCGTGAGGGTTTGAAAGAGACTCAGAGGAATCAGGCGAAAGGCAGCTGAAAAAACGCCAGCAACCGGCAGTGAACAGATGGCAGCCGGACACCGGGACTTCTGGCTGAGACTTTAGTGGCCTGAGAGGGATGTGATCCCCTCGGGGCGGAGCCAGCACGACCCAATGAGCGAAAACCCTGACGCAGTCCCTGCTTCTCATTGGCTGGGAGTGGAGGCGTTGCCCGGAGCGTCGCCGGGTCTTCCCATCCCGAAGCAGACTGTGGCTTGCAGCCGGAGTCCGTGTTTCCACGTGGTGCTTGTCCCTGCAGGCGAAATTCACTAGTCCCTTCCCTGAGGAAGCTGCCTTACTTGTTCCACTGAGCCACCCGGGCGTTTGTGTGACGTCGGGCGAGAGGTTCGCGGGAGACGGGACGAAAGGCTGGATTAGTGTGGAAACCGAGTAACCTGCATATAGGCCACACAAATAGCCTCCTCTCACTGCAGCCTTTGCCCTTGACCTTCCCTACTCCCCAACCCCCAACCCCAGCACCCTTTGCCCTGAGGGTGGGGCTGATAGACACAAGCAACAAAGTAGAGATTGCTAACAAAAACAGCGGCCAAAGTTGCCAAGCTTGTAGCTTGGATTTTCTTTAGCTGAAGGCCGCCTGCCATAAATTCCGTAATGACCCATCATTTGCCAGGATTGAAATGAGTAGGGGTCTCCAAGCAAATTTCTGACAGCCTCCTAACAGCTAATCAAACTTTACCTTTTTTTCAAGCATCATTATCTTCTTTTGAAGTGCCCAGAAAAACTCTCCCTGGTGAAAAAGATAGTCTGGCTTTGAAAAATTTATTGGAGCCTCAAATCCTTATCAAAAATCGCTTTCAATGACACAATTGGCAGCAACATTCTTGTAGGAAAAAGGAAACAGTCCCTTGTCACTATTCACCACTCACCTGCACCCAGAGCCCTACTCTCACAAGGATCATTCTTTTAAAACAACAAAAAGCTCCTTGTTCCCTAGACAATACAGACTTCACCTATTTACTATTGTGAATATCTTCTAGGACTAGGGAATTCAGGAATATTTCTGTTGCTACAAAACCTTCACTAAAAATCTGAAACTTGGTTAAACCAATTAATAAAAAAGAGAAGAAAAGACAAACAGTTCTTAAAATTTTACAGGTAAGACTGCGGTAATTTACTTTTCAAATTAGCTTTAGGGACACAGCCGTCTGCAAGCTTTTAAAGACATGGTAAAATGTTTTCACCTAGGGGGAAAAATGGATGGATTCCAAAATACTAATATACATTAATATACATTTAACTGATATTCTGTTAATCTTACATGTTGTCAACTGCAACTTATCTCAAGAGTAATATATAACCATACATGAGTATGTTTATATGATATGATGCTTAGGCACCAGGGGTGTCTAAAGCAGTCCTAGTTAGTTTATCTCATAATATTTGTGGACAAACCCTGAGTTGCATAAATATGGATGTTTTATTTAGTGTTACTGTAATAATGGATCCTTTAAAAGATGGTACCAATGTAAATGCTCTAAATTAAGCCTTTTTTACTCTCATAAATTGAGGAAACTTTATTAGATGGTAGCTCAATATTATGTAACAAGGATTCCTAGGACTTAGCAATTTTACTTGTAGGACTTTATCCTTCAGGTGTATTCCTACATGTACGTGAAGATGACCAAGGATGTTCTTTATATCTATTTTTGCCATTTTTAATAATAAAAAAATTGAATACAGCTTAAGTATCCATTCATATAGGAAACTGGTCAGTCAGTCTGCAGAATGACCAAGAAGCAGGAGGGCTTATATGAGCTGGTATGTTGTGATTTCTAATTTCTGAGAACTGCAAAGTGTTGAGAAAGCAATGTATATGTTATTCATCCACTTTTCCAAGAATATACACCGTGTTACGTTCATTTTAGACAGATATATATGGATTAATGTATATAAAAATTACTCCGGTAGTAGAGGCTATGGATCTGCAATGGAAAGAGTAATTTTGTTTACATTTTATTTATGCTTTATTTGTTTTTTTTTAATTGTATTGATTATGTTATTACAGTTGTCCCAATTTTCCTCCTTGGCCACCCTCTACCCAGAATTTCCCACATTTTATTTGCTTTTGTGTTCAAGTTTTATACCATGGGCATATATTACCTTCTCAACATTAATAATACCAAAAATTTTAATTTAAAAATTGCAATAAGCAAGGTACTTAAAAAAACTTTTTCAATGTATAAAAGATACTTTAACTATAGTAAATACTATATATGTTGGGGCATGTGCTACATTTTCATGTAAGTTAGCTTGTAAAAAACAAAACATGAATACCATAACACTTACTGAAAAACTATTCATTCCTCTCGGGAATAAGATTCAGCATGGGTACATAACTTAGAGAAAATGGGAGAGCTTATTCTTTACATTTCTTTAATGTCTAATCATTATATACAACTCAAAGTTCTATTACTTTTATAATAAATACTTTGAGTAAAAATAGTATTATAGTAATAGGCACTATGAAAATAGCACTGTACTTCTTTTTTTAATTCTATTTTTTTGATTTTAGGGAGAGAAAGAGAGAAACATCAATTTGTTGTTCCACTTATTTATTCATATATTGGTTGATTCCTGTATGTGCCCTGACCAGAGATCGGACCTACAACCTTGGTTTATCGGAAGAATGCTCTAACCAACTGAGCTACCCAGCCAGAGCAACACTGTAATTCTTATGGATATGCACAAAGACATCTATTACTCTCATTAAAGCCAGGCTATGAGTAAAGATATTATGACTGAATACCAAAAACAGCACAGTAAGAACCTGGTAGCAATGTTCACATGATGTTATTATTGTCAAGCATAAACATAGGCAATGATTTTGTTTTACCTCAAGAAAAAAGTTTGTTTTTCATTAGGCTTTTGCCAATGAAATTATGAGAAGGGAATCTGGGGCACAGTAGAAGTAGACTTTACAGCTCAAGTCCTTAATTTGTGGGTTTTGTAGATCACATTGGGCCAAAGCCATTCAGATATCACAACACCTGTTTTCATTTACCCATGAAAACAACTTTTATAAATAACAAAAAGATACTGAATCTGGTTTGATATGACAAAATTAGAAATGTCAGCCATAAAACAAAAGTCAACTAGGTGTTCTGTCACCAAAAAGGATTTACACAGGAAAAGCGAAAGAATTGCAATCCTGGGCTCAGGCAGCTGTAGTGAGCCATGTGAAGGTTCGGTCTGGACAGAGATCGAGGAAATCCTTTATAGAGGGGAAGAGGAAGTTAAGGTAGGGGCTGTTACAACCATGCAGCTATGTGATAAAACAGAGTTCTAACTGCAGGGCTCTGGCAACAGATAAATGTGTGAGAGCTCCTCCCATTGGCCCTCTCACCCAATTCCTGTATAGGTTAAGGTCTCTGTTGTAAGTTTCAACAAGAGTAATATATTTTGAAAATAAAAGTCCAAATACTGTTGATGGACTTATTAAATTTAATATCAAGAGAGACACTGAGGAGTGAGCTTCTAGCAAAATTGCTTTGTTTTGGTGATAAGGTACAAAAAAGATAGGTGACATGCTCATGCTAATATATACAGTGAGTATCTCATCTGAGAATAGAACAGAGCTTCAAACATTTTAGATGAGAAAGTAACCCAGAAATCATGAGGCCACATTCCGCAATGATATAAAAGGATCCACGTGTGACTGACTCGTAATGAAATACTGACTCGGGCATTTTTGAATAATGGTTAAGCACCTGAGTTTTGAAGCCAGAATGCTTGAGTCTGAAACTCAACCTGCTATCTCTGTGACTTTGAGGACTTGATTTACTGAAACTTTGTAAGTCTCATTTCCTATTCTATAAAGTGAGGAAAATAGGAATACTTGACAGCTCGCAAAAATAGGTCTTTAGACGCTCGTGGCAGGCCAGAGAAAGAAGGTGGGGCAATCAGACTGAGTGGGTAGCGCTTAGGTCAGAAAGCCACTTTTTGATATTCAATATATTTGCAGAGGTATACTCTACATAGATCATGTAGTCCAGTGGAGAAAGTGGGTGATATATTTTTGCACAGCTCATAAATCACCACAAATTAGATATAAGAGTTATAGGTAATTCGAACTATCAAGACATGCAGAGATCTTGTTCGACTGGTAATAAAGAAATGGAAAATCTCTTGACTTTCTTGCAGACAATTTTATTTTTATTTATTTTTATTTTCCTTTTATTGATTCTAGAAAGAGAGGAAGGTAGGGAGAAAGAGAGGGAGAGAAATATCAATGTGAGAGAAAAACAACAATCACTTGGTTGTCTATTGCATGCCACAACTGGGGGCTGAACCTGCAACCTAGACATGTGCCGTGACTGGAAATCAAAGTGGCAACCTTTCAGTTTGCAGGATGACACCTAACCAAGTGAGCCACACTGGCCAGTGTTTGCTGACAATTTTATATCATAGAGAAAACATTTTAGGAAGAATAACTCTCCATGTTTTAGCACTGCCTATCTCACTAAATCATTAAATAGTACAGAGTTTTTATTTATCTGGCCAAACTTAGCATAAGGTGCAAATGATAGATGAGGAAAAAAATATATTAGCTTAAGAAAAAATTATGGTGGTACATGTAAAGAGTTCTTGGGTTGACAGGGACATTTGTTTCCCTCAGACTACTCTGTGTCTAGTGTTGGACATTTTCTTTTCCTAATGAGTGTTACTGGTTTAATGCTGTAGCTCTTCTTCCTACTATGTATATGTTATACCAGATGCAGAAAAACAAAACAAACAACAAAAAACTCAGATTCTGGTGATAAGGGAACTAAAGAGTTAAAGACTTTAGCCTTAACTATAGTTGATAGACTTAAGTGATTAATGCACGTGGAAAGTTGTTATTCTAGAAACTGGAATGGATGGCCCACTAGACTCCAGAAGGTCAATAAGCAATTAACCTTTGTCCCTCAGGGGGTCTGCAAGCAATAAAGATGGTATCTGAGCCATTGTGTGCCAAGGAGGGAACCAGATAAAGAATTGTTGATCAGCAGATAAAGAAATACAGGAAAATCTCTGGCTGGATTGCAACTATTATCCCATTAACCTTTT